GAGCTCCAAAGGCTCCACGCGGACATGGAAGTGCGTCCTATGATACAATGCTTAAGAGACCTTTACCAGGGTCAACCCCAAAACTCAGGTATTTACGTTATCGAAGTCAATATGTCTGATATCACCTCTTGGGTGATGGATACTGGATGTGGTTCTCACATCTGTACTTCTATGCAAAACTTGCATGAATGTAGACAATTGACGGAGGGAGAGATACAACTAAAAGTCGGCAATGGCGCACTCGTCTATGCATTGGCCGTCGGAACCTATAGTTTATCTCTACCTAGTGGTCTAATATTGCATTTGAATAATTGTCTGTTTGTACCTAGTATGAGCAGAAACATCATTTCTGTATCCTGCCTTGACAAAGCAGAATTTTCATTCATTGTAAAAGACAAAACTCTTTCTGTCTTTAGAAATGATATATTTTATGCAAGTGCAAAAATGACCAACGGTCTCTATGTCCTTGACATGGATACCACAATATATAACGTAGATGTTAAGAGAAACAAACCTAACAGTTTGAATCTCGCGTACTGATATGCACATATTTTATACACTTTTAAGCATATTTTGAAGGAGTTTTGAGTCCCAATTGAATTTAATGTTTATATTTTATTTCAATTTTCCAATTTATTTGTGTAGAGCGGTCCTATGCTTGGTTTTATATGTTTTGCAGGTATTTTGAGGCCATTTGGACAAATTGAGAACAATTTCAAGAACGGAAAATAAACATGAAAGTTTGGGACCAAAATAAATTGAAGAGAATTGAAGAAAAGAAGGAAACAAATAAAGAATAAGGAAAAAAGGAGCAAGGATTCGAACTCAAGACTTGGGGACAGGGATTTGAAACTCTGACCATTGCACCACAACTGACTGTTCAGCATTTCAATGACAGAGCGCGAATAATATCTGTCTTAATATTCGGCTCATGAATTGGGAGAAAATGACAAAATAGGAGACAGCGGGAAGATTCGAACCCAGCATCACGCTGCCAACATCCAGCTACGTTTCCATGTGAGCTACAGGAGTTGTTTTGACCAATTATGCTACTGTTTGTATATACTCCGTATATACGATTTTATCTATAAAATCACATCTCCTCTCTTTTCTTAGGAGGTTGGAACCCCCATTTTCTTCCTTATCTCTAGTCCAAAATTCTCCTCCTCCATCACTAATATCTCACCACTTTCTTCTTCCAAACACATAAAAATTACTCCATCTTCATCATCATCAACACCATCAATTTTAGTTGGAGCTCAAGAACACATCTTCCATTTTGTAAGATTTTTATTATTGTAATAAATATTTATTTGTTTAAGCTTCAAGCTATGAACTTCTAAATTCCATTGGGGTTAGAAGTTGGTGTAATTAATTGTCCATCTTAATGTTTTGAATATTTTAAACATGGATTGTTGATTTTATTTTTACTTAGATGTTGTATTTAAAAATAAATAAATTTGAAATGTTTGTGATTTTTAATTAAGGGCCCAATCATAAACATAATTGTTACACGGAATATGAGCTAAAATTGATATAATCATAAAATAGAACACTTTTTAAATACACCGTAAGCCTTCTCTACCTTTAACCGGGATTGAAGACTTACGGGTGGAAATAATTATTGAGTTGTATTCTTACACCATTAAATTGGGTAAACATACAATAAAATAATTATGGTTGCCGTTGCTACTAAATAATTACTCCGGATTTA